TAATCATAATGAGACTACAATGTGTTTTTCTTTGAGAACAATGTAATATTGGGTTTAGATATTATAAGTTTAATTACTTACTTTTAATTCAAATTTGTACTGTATGTAAAGGAACTTGTGTTATTCAGTTAATTGTAATAAGTCTGCCACAAATGTGAAAGAAAAAGATGATAACTAATTTCCCTGAATTTAGCTTCTTTGCTCAGTGCCCTACAAATCCTCCACAATCCAGTTGATGTGCTGAATGGCTTCTGAAGTAAGTGGCATAAAAGAGAAATATCTCCTTCCACCACTGCTCACAAGCACCTCAAGTGAGAACCATAAAGTGTTTGTGAGTGAGGGATTTGAGTCTGCTCTTTTGACAGGTTTAAACCCAGCCATCCAATCTTAATCCTATGGGCAAAATGCTCTCTTGCAAAGGATTCAGTCATCTGCTTTCAACCTCTGACACTGACAGAAAAATACACATTTCCTACCATCACATCCCCATTGTGTTGTGTTTCAACATCTGTAGCCTTGTGATGTAAAATCTTATATATTTACTTTTCACCTAGTACATCTACTGTAACATTTTGTCATGTAAATCTATGCAGATGTGTTCATATTTTGTGTTTTCTCCACCATACAATCCTTTGAAACAACAATTTCTCTAAATTTACACAGGACAATGTGATGTCTTTCACCAGAGCAATGTGTACTATTCACAGTGAAATACTGAATTGGTCAGAAGTAGTTAGAAGTAAAATAAGTAAAGGGGGCTTTACTAGTTAGCAAGGAAGCACTGTGAAAAAACATGAATTACTAATGCAAGTAACTTCGGGTCACACAATTCAGTCTGAATAAATGTGGCATAAGTCATATGGTCATATGGATTTGAGTGGGTGGTTGTGGCTCAGGAGGTATCATGGGTCATCCACTAATTAGAAGGTTGGTGGTTCAATCCCTGGCTCCTCCTGCTGCATGTCGAAGCAAGATACTGAACCCCAAATTGCTCCTGATACAGTGCATAGATGTATTAAAGTGAGTAAATGCCCTTAGTTTCCATTTCTGATGAGCAGTTGGCATCTGTTTGTGAATGGGTGAACATGGCATGTTGTGTAAAGCATTTACTTTTTAAGTACAGCCCATTTTCCATTTATCATAGTGTGGAGGTGGGTGTGGTTTGCACTCAGCTGCAGGAGAGAGGTGTGGGAAGGCTTGCGAGAGCAGCACCAGGTGAGTTGATGGCCGCAGCTGCTAATCGTTGCCTATTCACTCTAACCCTTTATCTTGCAGTAATGTGCTGGACCTGGGGCCTGAGCTGCTGATGAGAGTGAGAGCCATGGAATAGCGATAGAGGTTGCGTGTTGTTAGTGTTTGAAGCAGCGAGACTACAATAAAAGTTACATGAACCAACCACCTGGTCCAAGAGTTTGTGTGCTGCCAGGACTCACGGTTGTAGCGAGACTTGCTACACATAGATTTGTACGACGATGTAGCCGTTATCAGTCAAGGTCACTGTTAGACAATATATGTTAGTCAAACAGTAGATATAACAGATCTTCTGCTAACACATTTTCAAAAGAAAAAAGATATCTTAACATATGTCTACCATGTAGAGGTCGATAAGGCATCATTTTGTTACAAATACTGTAATTATTAACGTTGTATTCTGATAAAGGGCCTCTTCTCAAAGTAGTTAGTTAACTTAAATAGCCTGTGTAAATGGCCAATTCAATCTTTGATCATCATTCAATACAGAAGAAAAGATAAAAGTCTGTTTCTCTTTTTTTAACATTCATAATGAAAATTCATAAAGGAAATCTCAATCAAGCAAAGAGGTCTAATCATGAAAGATAAGTGAAAACACCTGTGGGGGTGGACCATGAGTGTCTAGGTCCTTTAACAATTCAGAAGACAGTGAAATTTGGTGTTCTCTTGAGTGACAGAATTCCAAAGGGAACAGATTAGTAAATCTCCCGTTCACTGTTTCACTTCAACACAGCTGCAACACCACGACAGTAGCTATTTCAAATATACAATATCATTGGCTAATTTATTCTCGGCTAATTTGCAGTCTTTCACTTCTGATGAAGGCCTTCCTGCACCAAAACGTTAACAATTTTTAAACTGTTCAATCAATACATTATACAATAGTTTCAGCTACAATAGCATCTCTTCAGCGTTCTTTGTTTTTTGATTTTTGTACTTTAAATCACACTGGTGCACGTGCTGCCTTAGGCCTGTCTAATTTGCACTATTGCTGTAGACACCAGGGAGAGTTAATGCTAAGTGGATCAATACTATAGAAAAAAAAGTCTTCCACTAAAACTTTTGTACTGCTATGGACTCTTTCCAGCAAGTGTTCTTAACATTGTAAGACTCTATCCTCCAGGGAATCAGATGAAATCTGGTGTTTTTCTTCCCTCGGTTCCTTAATAGGTCTCTTGGGCCCTCCAACCAAGACGTGGCAAAATGGAAAATAAAAACATTGATAATTTGTAAGTTATGCATAGAAGGGGGAATAAGACACACCTCCCTAATGCTGTTCCCTTTTCGATTCATCCCCAAGACATTTTAATGCTCATTTTGTTTTTCCAATGCAAGAAGCATTCCCCTCTGCCATGGCCATATGCACTTGTTCTTTAACAGTAAAAAGACAGTAACATAACTGATAAGGAATCTGTTTCCTGCTTTTAAACAGACAGCCTCCTCTAGGAATTTATTTAAGCCACTTGGATGCTCACTTATACTTACAGAGGTCCTGAAACAGCATGACAGATAAATGCACTCTTGCCTAACATAATGCCAAATAAATCTTATTTATGCACCAGCATAATTATACACATAAATAAAGACAAAGACTTAAAAACATTACCAAACCATCTAAGAAATCAATGTAAGCACAAGTTGAGTAGACAGTGCAATGGCATTAGTGGACACAATAAACAAGAGAAGACATATGAGGTCAAACCGTTAGTCTGACCAACTTTTATAAGAGTGATTTATTCATTTTCACTAATTACATCTTTATTAATCACTTTTATATTTAAACTGAGTGCTGGTAATTGGTCTCATCTTGCTACCAGTCTGCTTTATTTACCTGAAACTTACTTCTGTGCAGTTCATGTGAGTTTTTCGTATCCAACCATGCAGTTAATTTTGTGCTACAAGAAATCTTGTATCTGGACTATATCCAAACCTACATTTATAATTTAAAAAATATCTAAATAGCCATAGCTTTAGACTTCTTTCATTTTAAAGGTGGAAGGTAAATTGTCACATTTAAAGAATCTGCAACTCACCCCATGAAATGAATTTTTAATGAGTTTTATATTGCATGTTACTAAAGCTAGTCTCACAGTTTTTAAAGTATACAGTGAAAGGAATGAACTCATCCAAATAACTTCAGGTCCCCGCTGTTTTTGTATAACCAAAACCTGGAACTGCTCTCATAACTGACTCACAAAAATTGCGAATTAGGTCCTGATCCCAGCAATTTAATAGCTCAAGTTATCATGTCGAATTCACACAGTCACTGCAGGGAACCAGTCAGCGTATGAGTAACAGTTACAGTTTTTTTTCATGCATACCCAAAACAATGACTCCGCATTCGGAATTTTTCATAAGGTTGTTAGAGTGAAGGAAGCAACCTTTTCAACATAATTCCCCTTATCTTTTCTGATTGCAACATAGTGGGACCATACAATTACAGTCAATTGCCAGACATAACTTAAGGTAATGCTTACGTATCAGATCTATTCAATTATGTCGCTGTAGCATACAAGGCAAGAAGAAGCAAAATGTAACAAGATGGATGGTTTGTAAAAGTATAATTTATCTTTGCCTTAACCTTGTATGAGAACGGACTTAGAAAAGAAAGTACCATCAAAGGAGTTTTTGAAAAGCTAATAGCTAATACATTGACAAACCATCGGAAACACGTCTAATTTATAGCTGAATGGACAACAGTGCGCTATTCTTACAGCTTCAAAATATGATTTCAGTATATCAAGAAGAATAAATCAAACGCTCCTGAATCACTTTCCTCCAGGATGATTGTTTGGCATGCTCGGCTCCTGAGGTCTCAGGCCTGGTCCGTGTCCCTCATCTCTCAGTACCCATAAGGCCAGAGAAGCATTGTCCTGGTCCTACTACAATGTGATCTACCTTCAATAGACAAAGGACTCCAGCTGGGCTTATTCCTCCTTTCTTTCAACCTCCTCCCAGTGACAGATGGGACCAAAACTAGAAAAAATCCTTGAAGACAAAGAAATTAGTGCCTTTTATATGGATCCAGAGCAGCTAGACACCAGGGATGTTTGGCAGGGGTAAGAGAGGAGTTGCAGCCTTTCAGTATCATTTTACCCCTCATTGTTGCAAAAAAATTACACTATAGTAGAAGAGCCATACAATGCTCCAATATAATAGAAAGCTGCCTGACACATTGTTTGTATTGTTTTACTGAACACAAGAGCTGTACACCTCAGTATAAATAGAAAATGCACACAGTAACACATGTATGCTCACTTATACGCATTCTCTTTCTATTATTACCAAACATACATACGCATGCACTCACACACACACACACACACTCACACACACCTCTGTGAGCTAGTGATAACTGCTTAGCAGTGTATGCTCCAACAATTGTCAGACTGCCAGGGCAGAGAGAGCCAGGAAAGGAAGAAGGGGAGGGTGAAGGAGCAAGCTATGAGTGGCACCACAGAGTGGGTACAAGGAGAATTAGACAGGTGCCATGGGGAGAGGTTGGCAGAATGAGGAAAAGGTAGATGTTGGTAAAAAGGTGGTGGGACAGATAACAGCAGAATTGTGGAAGAGGGAGAGATGGAAAAGACTTCAAGATTTCAGCAAATGACAAGACCTACACAGAAGACTGGAGAGAGATGAGGAACTGGAAGGACAAAGGCAGAGAAGGGGGGAGGGAAGGGAGGGGGGCACACAGCCAAAGAAAGGATATGAAAAAAAGGGGAGAGGAAAAAATAGCAGACAAAGTGTGAAAAGGGAAAGAGAACAAAACAAACCATAGAGGGTGAATGATAATGTGTTGTGCAGGCACCTCCACCTCCACTGGATGCAACACTCCCACTCCTTTCATGGTCTGCAGTCTGTCATCAACACCCATCTCCAAGGACAGCACAGGCAGGGCTCCGTCAGTGGCTGTGCAATAAAAACCACTCACGACATAGGTGAGTAGAGTCATTCTCTTGTCTTAATTTTACTTAATTTGCCATAACACTTCACCTCATCTCACATTATGTTAAGGAAAGAGAGCAGGAGTGAGAAAGCAAAGGATGTGATAAGTCGAAGCGGGAGGTAGTGAGAATGAGATGGTGGTGGGATTGAAAAGAGGCAGTGTGTGTGTGTGTGTGTACGACAGATAAACTGCTAATGTCCCACAGTTAACAGTCCACCAGCACCACCATGTGGCTGAAACGTCAGGGCAATACTTCAAAGTATAGAGATCGTTTTTCAATCTCCTACACACTTAAGAAATCATTGAGAACAACACATTTTCACCTATGGACATTTTGTCATTCTCAATTTCTTTTAAGCAAGGGCACAACAACACACACTCTTGTACACATTGTACATACAGTGTACCTAAAGATACATGGACGCCCATTTACACACACAAAAGGTGCACTTTTGGTTATATTTTTCAGTTGCTTAACTTGCTTAACAGCAAACCCAGATACAGCCAGTTGTACAATATAATATGATGTAATATTCACATGCATTTTCTAGCTTTGGACTGGTCCTATCTGGGTCATTACGGTGTATGCTGTTCTGCTGTATCCCCATTCGTCCATGTCAACAGCTGACCTGCTTTTTCTCCCTCCTTCCCTTTTCCTTTTCTGCAGTGTAAAACCATTTAGTTTTGGATGAGACAACCATTCAGTTTGTGGAAAAAAAGATTGCTGCCCAAGTTTAGAATCAATCACATCGACCTTTGGAAACATCCATTTCTAATATGCTATACTTGCTGTAAAGCAAAATTCTCGGATGCCCATCACTACCTGAGTAAAAGTACTAAACATATTTGTCAGCCATACATTTTATATTTTTAGATAAATTATTATATTAACAGTTAAACAGTGTATTCCTTGTATCATAGTTCTGGCTTTCAAATGTTACTCTATTTATTTTTAGTATATTTGTTATGCAAAAACAAAACAAATATTTTTTTATCTACAGAATTAACACAGACCGCTTCAAGTTCTTACGTGAAGCTCTGTGAAAGCATATGTAGAACAAGAATAAAGAGTAAATAGTCTATCACGTTCAATATATAAGATATTTAAATGTGATGACCGTCCTCTTTTGAGAAATTGAATCAAGTCCAAATTGGTAAATTAACATGATGGTTCATTTCTGTGGACCTTAATCAGAAACAAGTCTCAAAGGACTTCGCAGAGACAGAAATTAAACAGATGACAAGATAATACACCAACACCTGCTTCAGAAATGTTAAAAGCTCTCTGTAGTTGCACAAGCGCCATATGTACAGTAGAAGACGATGATCCTGACAGGCTATCACATATGGAGTAAATTAAGTCTATAGGATGTTTTCACCTTTCTCAGCTGGAGCCACCGAAGAATGTGAGGCAACAGTTGTAACACTTGGCCAGAACAGTGTTTCATTGTGTCTGAGTGTCTTACTTCTTATTCCTCACTTCACCCAGGGGTTTTTGAGGGAAAGGATAAATCTATGGGAACAACTCAATCACATTACCTTATGTAAATACCTCAGTCTCCCCCTACCCCCTCTTTTGACCACTATGTTGGCTCCCAGGCCTATGGCTCCTCTGGCACAGAAATGCACATGGGGCAAATTAACATTTGCTCTTATAGTCTGCAAATGGCAGCTCGTGCTTGCCATAGAAATGAAACACTGGCCCATGTAGGAGAGAGAAAGAAAATATTTGAGCGGGGAGCGATTAATAATTCCTCATGCAGAGCAGTAACATTTGCTTTTAGGGGCACTGGATCGACAAAATGGGCTCTTTCAGGAACTTTTGAATCAAAGCTTGTTTTTTTATTTGCAACTTCTTCCTCTATGCATTTAGAAGCGTCACTCAGCACTTTTTATTGACTGGCATTAGAATTATAGGCAGTAAGTACAACATTTCATACCATTCATTGATAGCTGTTCATTTTTGAAGTCAGAATATGGAAAAGGAAAGCAGACCAAGTCGTTAAAAAGAAGAGGCAAGTAGCCTGGAATGTATCTCCAGCAATAACCAGACATTTACAATAGAAAGAATATTTGTCCTAATTACAGTAAGAGCAAAAAGACTTCTTAATGCTGTGCTTCATTATGCAAACATAGCTGTTAGACCACAGTCCTAAAAGGCTTTAAATGCATATAATTATTTGACATTTTCAGCTGTGTAAATGTAAAAGTATGTAGACACTGACTGATTACCTCAAAACAGAAATGCAATAAATGATTTGCAGGGCGAGGGGGTAAATATATGTCCATAGTTTCTCTACAATGTGGTTGCAACACTTATCAGTCCATTAAGGCTGTGATCATTCAAAGGGCTAAATGGGACAGAGTTAGAAGTAGGGAGATGGGACACAACCTCCTGCTGAAACTCCACAGGCACTACAGGAGCAGCACCTTCCCCATTTGCTACTCAAGATGTTTGACTCAAGGCAGAGCTTGGTGCAGATGGTTTTTCTTTGCTCTGCTGTAGTTTGATCCTGCTGTGAAAATATGCTGTCTTTTTGCGCTTGAACAAGACAGACAGACATTTAAAAGGGAAAAAAAGGCACATCCGGAAGTTACAGTTTCAAGCAAACAATGTCCATCTTTAAGTGCCTCAGTGAAAGCTCATTTCAAACTGAGAAAATTCAGTTTTTCAGAGAGCAGGCCCAGTAAATTGATATGATATGCAAAAAAATATTTAAAGGTCTTGGGGAGATGTTATACTAAAAACACTTTGCATTCAGTTCAGTGACTTTGTATGTTCCTTGCCATTTCACTTTAATAATTCAGTGTTGGATATATGTTTCATTAACATCTGCTATATGGTACAGTTTCCACTAAGCCTCAGGACTAGTAGTTACCCTGAGGCATCTTAACTCAAACACATGGCCAAACACCTTGGAGGGGAAGAGTCTAATTTGGCCATTTTGCAAAAGTGTGACATGAGAATCAACTGTGTTTTTGTGGAAAGTTTCAGAATTTACTTTGGTACTTTTGGTCCTGTCAAGATTAACAACAGAACACTCCCAGAGGATTTACAGTTTGTACAGTACCCTGTTTGTGCTTTCATAGTTGAACTAAACTAAAGCTTTTCACTTCACCTTCACTTCGGTGACTCACACTCATATTTTACACCTGTTCTGATGAAATAATAATCAGTCGCAATTCGTGAAAGTGTATCATGTAAATGCATAAAAAAGATGTAATTGACATTATACAGTTTTAACAAGAAAGCATTGGAGACATCTCTGTCACATTGTAGAAAATTGACTGAGCCAATTATACTGGACAAACATTTAAATTTCAAGGATATTTTTTTAGCTACACATAATGATTTACTGACACATTTCTGTCACTAATGCTTTGGTAAGCGTGGTCAAGGTTTTTTTTTAAATTACTTATTCCATTATTAAAATACATTTTAAAATGAACCACAGGGAAGGTATGAAGTGCTCTGCAGACTTGTTTAAGTGATCAGACCCTGTAAAATAAGGGTAACTCTTTTGTTTGCTGATTTACATCAAGGTAGGGTTTGAATTGTTGGCTTAACGGAAACTCAGTTTAATGTACAATTCCACAGTTCAAGAGAGTGATTCTTTTCTTTGTAACTCATGATTCAATTCAGTATATAGAACATTACTGAAAATTCAAAGGATACAACTAAAACAGTTTTTAATAGATATTGAAGGATGTCAGCCCAAATAGTGTTGATCTTACATTTGAGCCTCCAAGGCAGTATTATTAGTAGTGACAGTAGCAGAAATATTTGATACTATGACTACCATAGTATTAATTTAAACCTTTCGATCCTGGCAGGGAAAGGTGTGTGTGTGTGTGTGTGTGTGTGTGTGTGTGTGTGTGTGTGTGTGTGTGTGTGTGAACACGGGTAGAATGGTGAGTTTATGAGAGTTGCTGAGTGGAGAGATAGGTGAATGAGTGAGTGTGTAAGTAAGTATGACAGTAAGACATGATACAAATTCCATTTTGTATACATGAATATTAATTGATCAGCATGTTTCAGGTTCAAGAAGTCTTCTTTGGAAAGATGCTAGTCCACTCCAGTGCTAAGTGAGCTATTCTCTCACTCACAAATTTTAGCTTTATAAAATCAGATCCAGCAAATACACTGTCATGCTCCTCCAGTAGACTGTGACAGAGCCTAATGAGCCATTACAAAAGCAGCTTAACTGTGGTCAATTTCCTTTTGTTGACGTTGTTGTTGGCCTACCTGGTTGTCATTCACCTCACCAGCCAGTCAGGCGTACTCAGCTTCAAGGAGAAGCAGCTCCTTTGATGTTTGGGTCCAATGTTGCCACTGATTAAAAAGAGAAAAGGATATCAGTGCATGTGCACACACCCACTCCCAAACACAAGGCACAATAGGCAGGGCATGATGGAACTTATTCATACCAAAAATGTATAACCTTGATTTACCTGTGTGAAGAGTGTCTTGATCAGAGTGTCTGTCAGAGAGGTCCTCTAACATCACACGCTCTATTTCTTTCAAAACATCAGAGTCGTCTTCATTGGATTCATGATGCTTCAGGAGTTTAGCCTTGAGTGGGGCAATAACCGATTCAGTCAGCTGCTCCTTCTCACACATTACTGTGGGGGCATCATGAGCAGGGTTGGAGAGAGTGGTGAAATACTTTACTCAAGTAGACGGACTGTTACTCTAGTTACATTTTGCTCAAGTAAAAGTAGAAAGTAGCTCTTCTGAAATGTGCTCAGTGTAAACGTTAGGCTACTGAGTTCCTTTTAAAAAAATAATGATTGGGGTTGTTGAAGAATAAATGTTACATTAGATGCAGGTAGGACAAAATTATATTTCTATTTAAAAGACGCATATATATATATTTTATATATATATATATATATATATATATATATATATATATATATATATATATATATTCATTTATTTTAACATATTGTAGCAAGGATCATCATGAACAATGAGTGCAAAACCTGACACAGTAATAGTCTTCCAAGCCATAACAGAGCAGGCATATTATGTGCCCTTGAGAAAAGCTCTTGTAATTAGCATTAGAGGAACCCTTTGTTTTTAGAACAGATGCCCGGCAGCAGTCTAAGCATCTCTAGTGTCAGAACCACAAGTTAATGTCTCTTCTGTGCACAGCAGTCAAAAACATACAACATTCCAGTGTATGTATCCACAACTCTGGTGATTTAGTCGCGATTTAGTCGCATCTAGCATAGTGTTGTCACGATGCCAAAATTATTGTTTTGATACCGATACCAAGTCAAGAATTGCGATTTCGATACTTTTTCAATACTTTTCCTGAAAAGGGAGAAACACTCTCAAATATCATTGCTGTGCTTTATTTTGAAGTCGGGACAAGATTTTAATCATATAGCACACTAATATATTAAACATTTGAACAAAATATGAAATATCAAAATTAAATTCTAAATAAAATTAGAGCAATGACATTCAAGCTAAAAAAATAATAAATTTAACAGCATTATCTCAGTTATCATAAGAAACATAAGAGAAAACATAACTTTATCTTGATTCTGAACTTTGAAAAAAAGCAAATAAAATTTAGCAGCAGTGTCTCAGATATTGTAACTTATTCTGTCAGTTGTGCAACCTTTCCTTTCAGAGGAGAAAACTCAGCCATTGAGCCCATGGCTCCAGACCTCTGTAGCAGAAGAAAATGGAAATATTTAAAATATGATGGTAATAAATTTGTCATAACAGAGGACCTAAATAGTTTTATGTGTAATACTAATAATAACTTGTGACTAACTTAGCATCTCTATATGCAGTGGTCATAGTGATAACTGCTAACATTTATTTAACCATAACATTACCATAATTAATAATAGGAAATAATGAGTTAACCTAATGTTATTTAAGCTGTGATATATGGATTAATATAGGCTAATGTTTCCTGTACTTCAACGTCTGATTTCTTTGATGGTTAACTTTATATTTGAGTCCATAATTTCTTACAAAGCGTTTCACAAATACACCTCCTTTGCGTAGATCTGTGCTCTTTAAATGCTGTAATAACCTAATATAAATAAATCACTGACAAACATGCACATGCTCTGATTATAATCATATAGCCTATAGATCATTTTAGCTGATGTTTGTATGCTTTATTTTAGCAGCTTGCAAATTATTAACGTTATCTGTGAAAGTTGCGTTTTCAGAGTTGTTGAATTAGCCGTAGGCAGGCTATTGGTTAGCCAGGAGGATAATGCCCATAGTTAGCCTACTATTTCTCTAGATAGCCTCGTCAAACTACGGTGGTGCAAAATAGTGACTTCGCACAAAATGAACCATAGCCTACTCATTTGACTTATTTAAGGGCATGAACGTGATCGTGTTATCTTTCACATACTAACCTGTCGGTCTTTAAACTCCTTGTACAACTCGGCGTGCTTGTTGGCCAAGTGTTTTGCCCGGTTCGAGGTGTTGGCTCCCTTTGTTTAAATTTGTTTATAGCACTGACGAAAAACAGGTCTTGACTTACTGGTAGCTTTGCCCTCACTGCAAGTTAGGCAAAGTACTTCCATATTTCACTCCTCGCGTCATCTTTTTCTACCAGCCGTGGACCAGCGGCCACAGTATCACTTGTGCTCGCACATGCAGCCATCTCGCTATAGTGTTTGTCACATGACAGCTGCAGCTTCTTTGCTGCGTGCTTGAGGAGAAAAAACACAGATGTCCATAGGGAGGCACTGGAAGCATGTGTTGCACACACCAACATGAAATACGTCTCTTACAAATCTGGAACGCGGTCATTCTTAAAAGAATCGATACTAATAAATTAAGGAATTGTGACGTTTTTAATTTCCGAGAATCGCGATACTTTAGAAGTATCAGTGCACCGTGCAACACTAATCTAGCAGTGAACTTGCAGATTGCAATCTGACAACCTGGGAATGATAATGGTAGAAACTACGATGGCCGCGAAATTCATTAAAATGGCAAAGTCCTACAGCCAGTGTTTGGTTAGTCCATTCTACACTACTATAGAAACATGGCGGTTCAACATGGCAGGCTCTGTGGAAGGCGACCCACCATGTCTGTAGATTAAAAAGGCTCATTGTAAGGTAACAAAAACACAACAATTCCTATATTCAGGTGATTACACACTAATGAAAACATACCTATGGATATTATATTTCATTTCTGCTAATCAATCCTCCTAAATGCTACACATTGGACATTTCAATTTTCTCTCGCAGCTCATTAAACTTGCAAAGTAAGCAAAACACTGCTATGCAAAACTGTATGCTGTTAAGAAATAATGGTGCAATAGACCTTTTATCACAGCAGCCATTTTGACATGAAATAGTAGGGTAATCACAAGTGTTACCAATGATTCTAATAAAGGATCTGTTCCACTTTCCAGTGAGCCAACATACAGCACCCTGACTTTGTCTGACCTAAATGGAAGAGAACCTTAATTAGTATAATATACACCACCTGTTTACACCATACTATATGATGTGAAAAATGCTGTTGTGAAAATGTCAATTGTTGCAAATAGATAATACAAGCAAATAAATACAAGATTAAAGTATTGTGCTCTGTGTTAGGGCTGAGCAATACAGTTTTATTTGTTGAACTTTCTGTGCAGTTTGAGGAGAGTAGTTATTAATTAATTAATTAATTCAATTCAAAATTTGTGGAGTACAGCCATGTTTGCTTTTCAGTAAACAAAAGTCCAGCACAGCTGAAGAAGTGCTCACCTGCAGCAGTGGCAGGTAACCCTTCAATTAGTTCTAGTCTGTAGTGGTGGGCGGATCGATCCAAAATATCGATATATCGATCCAACCATTGGTATTGATATTGATCGATACCAGTGTAATGGGATCTATACTTTAGTTTCTGTCCTGTCCCCGCCGCTGCGGAGGAGACCTGTCTGTCTGTCTCTGTGTAAGTGCCGCAAATCTTGCGATATCGCCCACCACCATTAGCCTGGCATCGGCATTTGCAAATTAGTCTGTAACCTCTCTGTTCATTTTCAATATGCAAGGCACTCGCAGGATAAAATGCTTCTGGATGCAATTGGATATAACCAATCAGAGCAACAAAACTTCTGATGTAACATAGTTGGTAAATTAAACTGACCAAATCTACGGAAGTATGGCAACCACATATTTCTTATCAACAAAAGCTTAAAGTGCAGTTGTTTGTTCTTCTTTTGGAGAAAATATACCATCCAGGTTGGTTTATACTTCATGAAAGCGGATTCAACAAAAACAGACACACATCAATGGCGGCCATCTTGGTTGTGTACAAAAATGCCTCAACAGCCAATAATGCCACGCTCTTCTGTATAGTCATCATATAAAACCCACCCCATAGGAGATAAGCAATTGTGATTGGCCCAACTGGATCCAGGAAGCGGGGGGAATCGTTTGCATGGGAGGGTGGCCAGACACATCTGCCAGTGCAAATAATTGAGCCTGCAGATTTGTCTGGTTGGGTTCAGTAGATCTGTCTTTTCTGAGATGCATGCAAGGTATCCACCCACCCCTAGTATCTTGTGACATTTTGGACCTCATTGAAGGGAAGAATTTCTCTTCATCTTTTGATTGCAGTGTGATCTGGTACTGCCATTGGTTGTCATTTGGCCAAGTCAAAACCTAACATAGTCCAACCTCTATTGTGAACAATACACATAACATTCAAATATTATTATATCGAAGAAAAATTACAATTGGGCAGCATAGTTCATCAACACAAAGAGGCTTCCTGGAGCCCCTCAGCCCAGGGGCAATCCACCTCCTCAGGAGCAGCCAAGGCTGATGAATCAGGTGATCAAACACTGTCCACCATATATATTTAATTTCTAGTCAAATTATCTCATTAAGATATACTAATATAAGATATAATCATATGACAAGGGACATGTTTTTCATCTCAGGTCCATCTCTATCCTCTGCTCCATCCACTGTGCCCACTGTCCTCTCTGCAACCTCAGCTGTACCTGGTAAGTTAACAACAAAACAGCCTTTAATTGCTCAGTGCACTGCAGAACATACTGAGATGAATATTTTTTCAATATAAGATATAAGATATAATCATATGACAAGGGACATGATTTTAGACAAATCCATATTATTTCAAAACTTCTCAAGCAATTTTCAGTACTGTACTTTTTTATTTAGAAAATAAGCTGCATCGTTTTCAAGTGTAATATGACTATAACATGGCTAGCTTTTGTTTTTGTTGTTTTTCATCTTAGGTCCATCTCTATCCTCTGCTCCATCCACTGTGCCCACTGTCCCTTCTGTGTCTTCTGCAACCTCAGCTGTACCTGGTAAGTTAACAACAAAACAGCCTTTATAATTGCTCAGTGTACTGCAGAATGTTCTGAGATTAATAATTTTGTCCAAAAATATTATTTTAATTTCCCTGTAGGTCCTTCATCTGCGGTCATCGAGATTGATGTGTCTTATTCAGCATCCAGTTTGGAGCAGGGATCAGCAGCTCCACCAGTTGACCCAGCTGAGTGTCCCTCTTTCCTGTCAGACTCAGAAAGGACTGAACAGGTATTAAGAGGGCCCTCGCCTATAAAGGACACATTCACATTCCCAAAAAGACACATGGCAGTAATAGAGGGCCCCAAAATCAAATTTTGCTTAGGGCCCCATGGAGGCTTGGGCCCTGTATATTACAGTATATATTTAACTTCTGATGGCATTCCACCTCCTCTTATACGATCCTTTAGATTAGTTGGAGGATGCGATTTCTGCAGGCATATATGATCGACCAGTATTTCTCCCCATTGCTTGGCATTTTCCAAAAGCAGCACGTGATAGCCATTTTTATGTATCGTTTTTCCCTTCTGCCTTGGGAGCATCTGTTGTGGTGATTAAGTTTAGCAGGTGGTATGCACATCTTTGATGAGGAGGGAGTTGGTATTCAAACCCACTGTATTCTTCCACAGGGCTGACTGTATCCTGATTGATACCTGAGACTCTTCTTCATCGGATTAAACTTCTTCAGACTGTTTCTGTTCACCAAAATCACTAAGGGCTCTATTTTGCACTTTACTTTTTTGCAATTTACTTTGTACACTGGCGCTTGTATAATTCCTATTTTGCACTTGACGCACATTGGAATTTTCCCTCCACCGATGCATGTCCTTAAATTAGGGAATGAACTTGCGCTCCGGGGGGGGGGCGGTCCAGCGAAAAGAGGAGGTGTGTTCTGGCGCAAACGTTCCCTGGTGTTATTTTGCTGTTTCAGAAAACAATTCCGCCACAGACCAGGAAAAACCTAGTCTAAAGTCAGTGGCGCTTATTCAGATGCTATTTTAAGGCCGCATACTTGAGGGGATGCACCTGAGAGGCAGCAGCAACATCGCCACCTGGTCAAGACGGGCATTAATACTTTGCCACATCCCGGACAGCTCCCGCTCCAGCATGTCAAACCTGGTTTACTGCAGGAACAGGTGGTCCTCCGGCGTGTAGTGGTTCTGGATCCTCTGCACCTTGGTGTTTGCGCTGCTCCCTCCTCAGCTGGCCCTTGACAACTGCTTGGCCTGTGCGCACTGCTCCTGAGTCCAGGTTCTTCTTCCTGCTAAGCTGCGTTGTTTTGATTTATTGTATGGCTTTATGATGATTTATTGATTTATTGTTACATTTATTTCATGTCAATAATGTCACTTCTCTGTATTTTACGGCCCTGACGAGAACGTCGGTCTCCTCGGCTGTGAACCGCTCCTGGCGTGCGCCTGGCAAATCCGCCGTTATAATAGCAATCCGCCATGGAACAAGCGCACCTGCTTTTAAAGGGAATGTGAGATGACGCTCTGATTGGTTTATTGCACGTTACGCCCAAACCACACCTATGACTAATGTAGCTACTTCAGACCAACCCATTTTAGATTTGCACCGTGTGCAAGAGTCATTTATCCGGCCGGCATAATAGCAACAGCGCCCGAGATCTGCCCACAAAGCTACTTGCGTTTTGCGTTTGATACTTGCGTTTCAGATCGGCAAGATAGGGCCCTAAATGCCTTGATAAAGTTTCAGCCGCCGTCTGTTGTAGTTCTCACCGCAGAGTGGTGGTTATCAGTACTGACAGTCAGTGTCATCAAGGTCACCTGCTAGAACATCGACCTTTTGCCTGCAAGTACAGCAGATCGTCCATAGTGTGGTGTCCAGCAGTCAGTGGTGGGGCCACATAGCTGACTTTGCTGAGGCATGACGTGAAAATCTCCTTCATTCTAGTTGCAGAATCTTGTTTTCTTGCACAGAATGTGGGTCTGAGATTTACCTTGCACTGTGGATTCAGAGATGACAAAAGTTCCTTGAATACAGGTTCCTCAGCAACAGCAAATAGATGAAGACCATACAAAATAAAATTAGTGATGAGCTTGTCAACGGTTGTCTGGGAAACTCATCTGGCTCCACTTATGTTCGTCATCAGATATCTTTTCCTGCTTGCTTGGGATTTTTGCATCTCCAGTGTACGCTTCCTTGCTGCAACAAGGTCAGAACAGACTGCCAGTTTCAATAGATATTTTCTCTGTGAACAAAATATGTATTTATGCACAGTATGTATATTTATAAATTCCATCAGTATTAACCTAAAGAGAAACAATCATTAACCACACAGTTACTGTACACACATGCACAGCATTTAGTTCTGCATTGAATAAGTTTTAATAAGAACACACTGACATATAAACAGAAACAGTAAATCCCTCATATACCTATTTACATTATACTGTATAAAGTACACCAACAATGACTATACAGTGGATGCATGTAACTTTTCATTTTACATTTTTACCCACATACAATCATTATCATGGTGCTTCAGACGAACACCAGCTAAATCCAGTGTCCACTAGAGTCATGTTTTATTTTGTGTATTACATCATGCCACCAGGTTGGTATTTTCGGAACAATGGGCATTTGTATTATGGATAATGGGAAGAATAGTAAAATTACTGATTTTCAAGCATCCAACAAAGTACAAGTACACTAAAAATAATTTCTACCACCCCTGATCATGAGTCAAAAGTCACAGTTAATCCTCTGTGTTGCTCTTGTCATAGTCTTTTCAAGTGTTTTTCTTTTAAAAAATCTTTAGTCTTGACTTGTTGCTTACAAGAACTGCTTCATCAAGAGCAAACTGTTTAGAGTAAGTTGAGTAATCAAACTCCATGACAATGGCACGAGCCAACAGACATGGAGCAGCAATAACAAAAATGAACGATGGCAGCAACAATTGCTCTTTTTAATCCATGTAGTGTGACATAGTAAAAGACAACTATGCTCTACTTTAACCTAACCCTAACCACTACTCACAAGGCGGAAGAGAGCGCCCTTCCACCCACCACTGTAATATGGCAAAGTGAAAGAGGAATGCTGTTGTCCGTGCTGCACGGTGATATATTGGATCTTTCTCCTGTTGTGAAAGAAAGAAGAGAACATTAACATTAATGTTTTAATTGGGACGTAGTCTGCTATATCTCTCACTGCAAGAATCTATGACACTATGACTGCCACAGTGACCATATCAAGACACAAGAATATCATACAGTCTGCTCTTCTAGCAGTGTTGGATCAGATTACTTTGAAACTTAGTTACTTTGGAATACAAATTAAATGGCAATTTTTTATTTACTAATGTGATCCGTCCATCCATCCATCCATGGATTACAAAAAGAAAATGTTGTCTAATCTGAATACTTTTTTATTACTTCAAAATCAAACACTGAAAACATTGCACATTTTCCAAAAATCTAGAGTGACTTGTTTTTGGTCATTGGATTATGTAATACCAATTACATGTAATCATTTACAACTAACACTGTCTACTAGTTTGACGTAACATCACTTTCTGCTATATTAGTTATATATATCAGCTCTGCATTTTAAGGATATTATGATCATTAAAATTATGATTTTTTTAATTTCTTAAATGTTAGAGTTTTTCTTTAATTCAAATTATTTCACATCAATAAGTATGATTTATGCAGTGATTAAACTGTTATATCCATATTTAAATCACTTTAACAAATATGCTTAACATTTACCCCCAAGACACAAAACACACACAGTACAGACACTTTTTTTAAAACATGCTGCATAGTATTTTCTTCAATCAATATATCACTAATTAATTAATTCCTACATTGATAGTCTTCTTGTTTTTGATTCATCTCCTGTGAACTGCTAAGAAACACACTGATTACGCCATTCACATTTTATCCCTTGTAACAGGGCTACTTTCTCAAGATTTTGTTTAGTTTAATTCATTGTTTAGCTTGTTCCGCACTCAAATGAAGCCTCCAATCCCCTTTGTTTCTTTTCTCCCTGTCTATCATCTTCTGCTTTGTTATTCGATTCAAATAAAAAAAAAGAAAACAGCAGATGAGTGCTTGAAATATCCTACTGAGACTAAAGCCTCATTTCCGATGGTGTCCTAGAAACATAAATCTCATTATAATTTCCAACATCAAGACAATCTACTTTGGAATAACACAAAATTATGAGTAAAGCTAAAAAAAGATTTTAAAATAAACATATTGAGAAAGCCAAACAACTTCAAACCATACATATGCATGGGGCGCCTTCAACAAGATGAAGTAAAAACTCTTGGATATCAGGCAAGAAACAAATAAATACATGTTAAAATCTTTTGAAACTTTGCAACAATAATTAACAATGTTGTTTTACTGTCTCAAGTTGGACCCTAAGAGGAGGACAATGTTTTTGAACAATTGCCTGATTAAACACTGTGGAGTGCCTTATTCTGACAACTGCTTCAACATGTGAGCTAAACCACATGTATGGACACAAATGCAAACAGTCATAGAAGACTAATGTTTGGTTTGTAAATTAATCTAGTAAGGGAGTGCAATAGACAACAGTACACAGTTTCAACCATTATTTATCTTTACCTCACAATCACAATGAAGAGGGCAGTATTTTCTCCCTTGACATACCTTCTTCCATAATTATGCTTTATAAATAATGGGAGCTCATTACAACCCCAAAATGTTCTTTATTCTCCAACCAAATCCTTATTATCAAGTTGCCGGAGCCTTAATTTCATTTCCGCTATTGATGAATGTGGAGTCACTGGGGGTGGGAGGGAACGGAAGCAATTTTGATACCTCATCCAATGATAATTCCTCTGGGAACGGAAGACCACAAAGTGATAATGCTAATAGCAGTCTTTTTAGCTGATCACACAAACAGCCAACAGCAGCATACGACATTATAATACATTTCAAAATCTTCCATTTTCTGAGAGGAATTCCGTTTTTTAAAGAAGAATTTTGGTTTAAAACATTCAGAAAACTAAAATTATAAATACAACTTTAAGAACAGTTTTGATGTCATGTCAAAGAGTGTTGAGTTGCAGAGATATCTACTGAAGTTAGCATGCTAACCAGCAAGCATGGGCCAGTCCTGTCTCAATACAGCACATTGTACCTCAAGAGGCAGTAGTGAGTCACCATATTGTTCATTCTGCCCTTAGTCCAACATGAGAGGATGAAGAAATAGAGCTGAAGATGTATCTAATA